GTGATCTAAATTCTACTCCCCCAGAAAGTCATAAAGTTAGAAAAGTTGATTTTTTTGCCTTCTGCTTGAAGCAGAAAACAGCCTTCCCAAACATACAATTGTAATGCTTTTTAAGTGCCATCTCATGAAGATAAAACCAGACCACCACCACTCACAGACATCTACACACACAGGTTCAGGCAGGGTTGAAATTGGAGTAAAGCACGTGGACAAATACAACTCTGAAAACAGCAGAGAACACAACACTGCACTTGAGTGAAGTTAAAATTCAAGGAAAGAAATTAAAATAATATCACCTGGTCAAGACCACAAATGCTGTAACTTCTCCCCACGTCTATTCTGTTAATAATATTATTTAAAAGTCTGAAAACAAATCCCTTCCTGCAAAGAGGAGGGGGAAAGGAAACACAACTTGCAGAAGATGGTTTTCACTTGGGCAAGTGGATTCTGCTAATGCTGCAGCTCAGGGAAGACCAAGTTTGCTGTTTTCCAACACACACAGGGTTTCTGCAGTCTGGTAGAAAGGGTCACTCCAGAGCACTGGTTTGGGGGTTGGTCCATTTTGCACAACCCTTCAGTTAAACAAATAAAAGCAAACAGGCAAAAGATACCTACAGTGATTACAGCTCAGACGTTGGGCATGAGAGCAGCTTGAGAGCAGCTCATCAAGAGGGGGGAAACTTTCCCATGCAAGCACACAATGGACATACAACACACTGACTTTCTGTTCCACTGGAGCCAGGGGGAACACCTGAACAGACACTGCCTGGGGCACCCACGGGGTGAGGGCACCAAACGCTTTGCCAAGGGCAGAGAGGATGCAGAGGTGCAGAGTCCTGGCAATAACCAACCTCACTGAGGCTGCAGGAGAGAAACCACAACGTTTGAACCACCCAAAGAATGAGTTCACACTCCTGCATCCCAAAAATGGGCACCTACTCTGAACACCAGCATTACTGCAGCTGGACCAAGCAACTACTCCATCACAAACTTCATTGAATATTTTATATATGGAGAAGTAGCTAATATTGGTTTAAAGTACTTTTTCCCCCACAAAACCTCTTTGTCACCAAGCATTGAGAACAAATATCAAGAAACATGCAGTTGCTTATTAAATGATGCTCTTATTCATGAGCTGATGGTCTCATCTCCTGCATAAAATAAACAGCACCAGAAGCCGGCACTTGCCACAAAAATGTCCTGAAGAGCAAGAGAAGAGAGTTCTTCCAATGTTTGTCACAAATCAGAGGTTATTTTAAATAAAAAAAAAAAAGCCAAATCTTAATCAGTATTTCAGTCCAGTAAGTGACTTTTAAAATCTCCTTTAATCTAAACTTAGAGCTGATGCCTTTTCCCCGTGGTGGTTTCCCTTGAATTCCAAGAGAATGCAAGAAGCAGGCACCTGCTAATGAGGGCTAAAGCAGCAGCACTACAGAGCCAGTCCTGACTGTTCCAGGCAGTATCAGGCCACTCACACAAAAACCAGAAACCCTCCTGACTGCTACTGCCAGCTCAGATTTCACCTGCTCAGGTACAACAGTATATTTATTACCAACAAAAAAAACCAAACAGTCAAGATGTACATAACTACTAAAAGCAGAATTCAAGTACAATGACTAAACAGAGACAGTCCACCAAAAAAAACCAAACCTACTGCTATCTACAAACTCCCTATCTTACCCATAATACTCTCTGCATTACCCTTGCAGAATGATAGCTCATTTTTATCTTATCTAATATTGTACCTTCAGCATTACATTAGAGGGCACATATGGATCCTTCTGGGAAACAGCACTTCAATTGTAATAAAGATAACCTCTTTTCTTAACTAAAATTGAAGAGAAAGGGAAAAGAAATGTATCAAGTAGAGCTAAATACTGTTCCATGGCTACTACATGTCTCCATGCACCCCACAGTCAGCCAAGTAATTTACTTCTAGGATTTCTACTGGTACATAAAAGAAGTTAAAGCAAAGCAAAGAAGAAAAACCACTTAGCTGCTGCTTGCAGTAAAATAAACTTGCTGTGTTTTCAGCTATAGCTTGGTGAGGGCTGTTAAACACCTGGAAAAGGAAAGTTCCTTTACAGCTGCATGTGTATGTAATTAATGCATTTGACAAGCTGTTGTGTTCCCAAACAGCTGCTTCCATTATACTGACAACTTTACCATCTGCAAAACTATTGGGTAAACTAAAGAAAGTAAATATCAGGAGAGCAGGTGCTAATAAATAACAAGCACTGCCAAGAGAACACACTTCTGGAAGGGAAGTTTTCATTTTTCTCACCACACTTTTCCATGCTCCTGGAGCAGGTAAGATAGTCAGAATTGGAGGAACTAGTGTGTGGCTAAGAGGAGTAGTAAAATAATGTTCAGGGCAAGCAGCTGTGAAATCACAATTAAATGCAGCCCCTCTCTACTGCACTTAGCCAGAGAGGTCAGTGAATCTGTACCTAAAGGTGGGTCTTCTCACAAGACATACCCAAGCACAGCTACAAGTAATAATTGTGGTAAATAAAACAAGTTGATTAGTGTCAGGTCAGTCTAATCTCTCTATTAACAGTCTAATCTCTCTATTAACAGTCCCATCTCAAACACATGTTTTCTATTTATGTCTGACATCTTCATTACACTTAACACCCAGCGCTGCTCTTTAACCCAAAAACTTGCCCATGTATCTAAGATCAGAACAAAATTGGACATTTGCTGGACCCAACACCAAAACAAAGCTGCAAATATAAAGAAACAACTATTCTAACATTCAGCATCTCATGAACCACAAGGAACAATGATTAGTAAAGCCTTAGCCCAAATTTAAGAAAATAAAACTAAACAAGCTATTATTATATGAACAATAACGATAAGGCTCATACAGGTAGATATTATCCACCTCCAGATTTACAAACTTGCTTAAGTTTTAGGTTCATTCATACACTTAAAAAAAAAAACACAAAAACAAACAAACAAAAAAAAAACAAACAAAAACAAAACAAAAAAAACCAACAACAACAACAAATTTGGTAGCACTATGCTTTAAATAGGTTTATGTGGTTTATGATATTGGTAAGGTTACTGCCACTATATTTTCCAAAAACTGGCTGAGACTCATCTCCAAAGCAAAAATATGTGGCCCAGCTGAAAATCTCAGCTTTTAAACAGACTGTAAAATAACTTCTGAAGTGCTGGGGGTATTTTGTTTGGTGTTTTGGTATTTGGGTAGGGTCTCTTTGACCATTTCGGGCCTCTGATTGTCCTTTCAATGTTAGACAAAAATAATGCAGCAAAGTGGAGGGGTTTTTAAACATGAACAGTGCTTTCATATATTGTTCTCATGAGATAACCAAATTACCAACCTTACTTATTATTGTCTTAAAAGCAACTTCTAACATAGTCTCTCCATGTCTTAAACATGTCACAGAAAATCTGTGTATTCATTTGCCCTGTATTTCATGAGTGTCCTTTTGGAACTGCAGCACAGCCCCAGAACTCTCCTCCACCTCTGTCCTCCCCTGGCAGCCACGGGGCCACTCCTGCCATCAGCAATGCAGGAACAATCAAAGGGAGAGCAAAATGCCCTTATCTCAGCTCATCAAAAATACAAGCCAGGCGAGCCACGAAGGGGTCACGAATGAAAAATTCAACGCAGGCAGCCCTGAAGAGCATTGACACAGCAGCACTTCTGAACCCTCCCCGAGAAGCAGCTGAAAACAACAGGCATGTAACAACAACAAAAGGTGGTCAAAAGGAGCCACGAAATAACACTTCTTCCAGGAGTGTCTTTAGCAATGAGCAACTCAGCAGCAATAAACAGGAGTATCAGAGTTTGTGGGGAAAAAACCCACCAACCAATCAACTGGCTTTCTCCTGCAACATTTCACTGTGCGTGTGAACTCACAGGATACTGAAACTTGCAGCTTTCTGAAACCAGAAGCCAGGATTACAAAAAATTCCTCTCCAAAGCTCCGTAACACTCTAAGTTAATAAAAAACGACATCAGAACGGCTCTGTCAAAGCTATTTCATTACCAACTGAGTTTACTCTGATAATGACCTAGAGAAGTAATTAAATCCCTGATGACTTAACTGCATTACAAGTTAGAAGTTTTCATACTTTTATTTTTGCTGAAAGTAGCATATGAATTCTTTTTTCTTCAGTGCCAATAATCTGCTGCTAACAGCAAGAAACAGAAGCAAACATGAAATATTTTCTCAATTAATAAATCTCTACTTAAAAATCTTTCCTATCCTCCACTTTCCAGTCATACCAAATTCCTATAAATGCCAAATTCTGCTGATTTATCTGTATTCTGAAACATGACTATACAAATATTATTGTGGTATTCATACAAACTTTACTGCAGTATTCTAATTTAAATCTGAACAATATTGGATTGGTTGGCTCAAGGTAGAACAAGAATTTGCCTATGAAGTATTTGTGAACTTTCAAAGTCTTCCTGGCTCACGTAGCTTAATAAATAATTTAAAGTGGAACTGTTTCTTTTAATGCTCTAAATATTTTCAGATTTATTATTCCTGCTTACTCCTGCTGTCTTGCACAAGGGTATTAAAGGCTTCAGGATTTCTGATGATGAAGACTTCCCTACGTGATTCTTTCCTAGATTTTTCTAGGAAAATTCTAAAAGGGTTCCTAGATCCAAAACCCCTAGTTTGGAGGTGACACAAACTGTTGATTCTCTGCTCCAGTATCCCACTACCCTCTGCTGCAGCTTTTTACTGCCAGATGCAAGGACACAATATACTTTTATATTGTATTTACCCAAGATGCTAAACATGGAAAGTATTGTCTTTCTATGTACTGTTCTGCTTGGAAGTTTGAAAAACAAGGTCTTGTCTCAATTAAAACACCAATTTACCCCTGAAAGTGTATTTAGGCAGACATTATGCTTCTCAGCTCTGTAACAAACTCAGCAAGTTTGCAGTAGTCTGCTGTGTCACAACTCAAACGTGCTACGGGAATACACAACGAAATCAGATCAATGTTACCTTGTTTGACCATTTGTAGGCTTGAAGAAGTTGGCTGTAAAGAGGGGTCTTGTCCTGCACAGGGTCAAGGCTCAGGAGCCCACTGTTGTGCAGGGGGTGGTTCTCAGAAGGTTTCCCAACCAGGTTGCTCAGACGCTCCAGTTCACTGGAAGAAAACACAACTGCATTTTGTGAGGTCAGATCTGGGAATCTGAGCTGTACAATCCTCCTGCAGGGGCAGCCATCAAGCACCAACTCTATTTTAGTATCTCAGTGATACTAAATACCTCCCCAATCTGATTACAAACAATCACTCTCATTACCTAAACAAGTTGTCTGTTAGTTGTGAAGCTCAGGAGAGAAAGTGCAAGTCAAGAGTCTTTGAAGACAACCTGGAAAGAGTCAGGTCCTGTTCATAACCCAGAGCATCTTCTGAGCAATGCAGACACTCAGAAACTCCACAATTCTGACTTTAGCATGGCCTTTACCATCAAGCAGGCTGATGGCTCATCACCTCATTAGAGCACTCCAGATTAACACTGTCCTCATATCAATATACACAAGACCTGGCATCAGTCCTAAGCCTGGTGATGGTCCTGCAAAGTTTGTGATCACTCCAAGCACCTATCCACATTCCAGGTTCTCAGGGCAAGGAAGAATCTTCTGATTCCCATAAGCAATTTGTACATTTGTCCATAAAATACTCAACTGCAGCATAATAAGCACCATTTTCCCATGAAGAAACCTCACTGTGAAATGATCTATCATTGCTTCATATCTCATTTGTCAAACACAACATTTAATCATAACAGAAGTTAAGCAATTTTTAAAACTTGCATTAATCAACCGAAGAAGGAAGACTGGCCACTTTGCACAGATTTAAAATGCAGTTTTTCAAGTGGCATGACTAATCAGGTGCCTTTCCTTTTGACTTCCAAGTGTTACATCCAATCTGAACTTCAGAGCTTCCACTAAATTAAAAGCAGGACCCGGGCACTTCAAAGAGCAACTTCTGAACATCTCTGTAAAGAAAAATCCCAAATATCTCCAATTGCATTTAATGAAGGCTACAAAAACAAACTGTAAGAACTGACAGTAAAGAAACTTCCCTACTTTACTATCACAAAATTCTTCTTTATTAATCATCATTCCTACAGGTTTTCATGGACTACCTTCTTTCTGGTTCTGTGAACACTCACAAATCTGCTTAAAACTTCTTGTCAAAAGAATACACGAAATAAATGTGCATAGACATCATAACTGAGGATTTGCTGAACAGGGATCCCAGTCAATACTTTTATGGTGTAAAGGTCCACTGGCAGAATTGACTTCAGTGCACCTTGGAGTATTTCCTTGCTAATTTATAAAATATCCTGAGTTGGAAGGGACCCACAAGGATCAAAGTCCAACTCCGGAATTGTCTGGAAACAAGATTTTTGGGGTCATAATTGATAATCCTTCAAAAAATCCCAGAGTAAGACAAGAAGGATAACGAAAGGAACATCTCAGCTTCCATGGAAGGAGCCGTGAAACCTCAACCTGGAAACTAAAAACCAAAGGGATAAACAGAAGTTTCTAGAGCTGGGTACAACATCATTCCTGAGAATGGATATCCCCCACCTTTCCCAAGACAAGGGAAGAAGTGGGTAATGAATTATATCACCACAACAAGAAGTAAAAATCAGCGAGGCCCATCAGCCAGCAGGAAACAAATTCCTGTACGCAAACCCCTGAACGCTAAACCCCTGGAGGCCAAAAAGATGTTCTGGGAAAGGGTGGTCAAGTGCCTGCCCTGCCTTGGACACCTCCCTGGACGGTGCTGGTGGCTCCCAGGGGGATACAACCCAACCCAGCAGCCCAGTGGCAGGATCCACATGGACCATCACAGAATCCATCAGGTTGGAAAAGGCCTTTATGATCACTGAATACAAACCTAAACCTCACACTGTCAAGTCCGCCGCTAAACCACATCCCCAAACGTACATTTAGTACTCAGTTCCTGTGTCTTCAGAAGGAATTTCATTTACAATGAACAAAATTGCTGAATGAATGGAGGTGGACCAGCCTTTCTCTTCTGCCCATAACTTTCCTCTGCATCTTCAGCCTCAGCAGTTTCTGTCTGCTTACACAAAACACACCTGCTGGCACTAAACAACTACACTTACCTGGGCTAACTTTGCAGCCTGACAAGTTTTGGTAGGAAATGGTCACTCTTGAACCCCTTGGTTGCTACTGAATAGTCTAAAAAAAGTGGGGGTTTGACCAAAAAAGTGTCAAAAAACCAGAGAAAAATCTCCCTGCACCCGAACGCCTTCACCTTGCCAACACGACCCCACCGACAGCTCCTTCCTTAAAGCAAAACGAGAACAAGAAACAGGTGAATACAACGAGGAATACTGCGAGCACACCCAGCCCTTTGGGGACTCTGGAACGGAACATCACGAAGGGGCAACGCGAGCAGTGCTGGGGGAGAAGAAACCCGGGCATTTTCGCGTTTATTTGACTAAAAACTTCCCCCGTGGGAGTGTAAATGACCCCGCCGGGACGGGACCCCCATTCCCTGCCCACTGTGGGGGGGGAAAGAACCCGGTGCGCTCACCCCAGGTCGCGGCTGACGGAGTGCAGGCTCTCCTGGAAGGCGGCCATGAAGCCCTTCTCGCGGCCCTCCAGGGTCTCCTTGTTGCGCATCCCATCCTTGAGGCAGTCGAAGACCCTGGTGACGCTGGAGCGCAGGGCCTGGATGGCGGCGATGGCCTGGGCGAACGCCTCCAGGTTCACGCCGGGGCTCAGCGCCCCGTCCGCCATCTTGGAAGAGCCCCCCCAGCCGCGCCTGCGCGAGGGCGCGGGGCACGCCGGGAAATGTAGTCCGGCAGTGCCAGGGGCGGGGGCTCCCGGTGGCCACAAGTTATTTCTTTTATAGCCTTTTACGCTCTTTTTTCCACCTGCAGGGGGTTCTCCGGGGCTCTGCCCTCCCCCGCCCCCCCCTTCAAGAATCGCGGAGTTGTCAAGGTTGGAAGAGAACATTTAAGATCGTCGAGTCCAACGGTCCACCAGCACTACCCGCTTTGACGCCCAAATCACATCACCCAGTGCCAAATCCAGACACCTCAAAGCACAGAATAGTAGCATCGTAGAATCGTAGCGTCGTAGAGTTACAGAGCCACGGAATCACAGAGTCAAACACTACACTGAGCTGGAAGGGACACACAAGGATCATCGAGTACAACTCCTGGCCCTGCACAAGATCTACCAACAATCCCACCCTGTTCCTGAGTCCAAACACTCCTTGAGCTCTGGCAGCCTTGGGGCCATGAGCATTGCCCTGGGGAGCCTGTTCAGTGCCCAACCACCCTCTGGGGGAAGAACCTTTTCCTGAGTATCACAACCTAAACCTCCCCTGACACAGCCTCACGCCATTCCCTTGGGTCCTATCACTGGTCACCAGAGATAAGAGAACACGAGGAAGCTGCAGACCATGATGAAGTGTATATATATGGCATATTCCATTCTCTGGATGCTCTGTGGATTTGTAGGGTGTTTCCCAGGCACAGAACCAGAAACAAAACCATTTAGAATGGCAAGCAAGGTCTCCGCCTGCTGCAATAACTGCGCTGAGCTTGAAGCAGGCGAGAGCATTTCCATCATCGTTGTGCTCCTGGGAAGACTGAAGATGTGCAAGTTGAGTCCCATGTTACAGTTCCATTCTCACAACTGGGGCTTGGAGCAACCTGGTCTAGGGAAGATGCCCCTGCCCATGGCAGAGGATCTCTAAGGTTCTTTCCAGTCTGTGATTCTGTCATTCTGTGTTTCTATACTTCAGTCATGATCACTTCTGAATCCAACAGGACACGGACCAGGCCCTCATCACCCGACCTTTACAAAGCACTGTGAAGTTTGAGTACTATCACAGCACTAAACAGTACTAGTTTGGTTTTGTAGGAGCTACTTGTGTTTCCAATGCCACCAACAGCTCCTTTCACCCTCAGAGTGCAGCTAAAATAAACAGAGCTAAAGTAAATGAAGCGCTGCACAGGCCAATAGTCACTACACACAGAGCAAACTGCAGCACAAGGATGGGGTTTTTGTTTTCTCAGCTTCTAAAGTAAATAACAACCCCTTTCATAACGGTATTAATTAAATTCAGTAAGCAAAATCCACACAGATCCTTTAGTCAGAGGTGACTTTTTTTAGATGTAAAATGGAAATGAATCCGACAAGGAACAGCTGAGATGTCAGTGGCCAAGTGAAGCGAGGCTGTGCCCTCCACTCAGTGACACTTTTCTGTCTATCACACGACGGATTCTGAAAATTGCATCCAATCAATTAAACGTTCTCAGACAACATGAGAGGTTATCGGTAAGTGAAACCCTATTACTTAGCATGAAGAATGAGAAGATGAAAGGGCTGCGGTTCCTCTTCTCTTGAGCTTAGTGATGCTGTTGTGTCTGAGCAGTGAGGTAAAGCAAACCTGGAAGCAGTACTTGAACAGTGAAATAGATAGCAAAGTGCTTCAAAGGATCAGCAGTGGGCTGAGCACACTTAGTAAGGATAACAGGAACAAGATAGGAATATTTCTTTATGTAAAAAAGCACTGAATCAAAGAATAACAGCCAGAGCCAGAAGAGAGAGGACTATCTCAGCCAGACTGGCAACCTAAGCTGTTTATAGATCTATAATATTAGTTATTTAAAAAAAAACCAACCTTCTTTTGGACTATAATAGATTGGTCAAGAAGGTACTATGTCATAAGGGAATACTTGCAGGGTGAAAGATCCTTCCTGCATTGCATTATTCTTTTTTCCTCTCACTACAAGGTTTGGACTTCGTGTGCACATTGCAGGTGTCTGTAACTTGTTTGATATATTTCCCCTTGGAAGTGGATGATTATTTTCCATTTGAGATTTACTATTTTTAAACATATATTTTCAGCTGTCAGTATTTCATTTATTTTATTTATCTCTGAGATCCCTGTCATTGAGGTGCCCAAATGCAAGGAGTTCTGATTTTACATCCTACCTGGAAGGGTAAAAGGGTTTGACAGTTCTTTTACTATTTTTAAACATACAACAAAACAGTGGCCTGAAAACAAATCCAAAAATGTATAAGGAACCATTTGGAACTTGCCCCTGTGGAACAAAGAGCACAGCACAGCTTTGCCTTAAAAACTTAAAGGAGGGCATTCACATTTTTTGCTCCAGGGATCTGCTTTTTCTTGCATAAATGAGGAGCCAAGTTCCCCTAAACAGACCACAAGCAATTCAGAGCACTAAGAGCCCCACTGGCTCCGTGGGGAGTTAAGGCAGACTCTGCTTCAACATCTAAAGATAATGGCTGGAGAAGAGAGCAAGAGTTCCCATTCCTCTTGTTATTTCTCCTCCTGTTTTGCCACATCTGGAAGGAAAAGACTGCATAATTTGGTGTGCTCATTTGTAGGGCATTGCCATGCCTATGTTTCTCTCTTTTAAAAATATTCCCTAAGTGGCAGCCTGCCCAAACCAAGGCAGCATGCTGATTTAATTTCTTTATAGGTACACTGGAAGTGGGCATTATGGATATAAAATGTGTGGAATCAGGATATCTCCAAGGTACTGATAAAAGTCTTCTTGCCTTAAAATCATTAATAAAACATAGAAGCAAGAATACAGCTGATGTTCAAAACATCCAACAATCTTATTATCTGACAGCTGTTGAGTTTGGCCTCCTGCAAAATCATTGGGGTGGCTCAATATGGGCATGAATTCACACCTGAGCAAGCACCAGAACTGGTATCTTTTATCCTCTCCACTTGAATTTCAAGGACTTAGCGATCTCCCTCCCCCAAAGAAAGGTCACATTTAAAGCATATGGGGTATATCCACATGGCACAACTCGGTGTGGTGGAGAGAGGTGCAAACAGCAGCCCGGGGAAGCAGCCTGCTGTGAGTTCAGCATCCTGCCCAGGCTAATAAACCTGCCTCTCAGCCTGGCTAATTAGCTGTGGCAGAGCCCTGTGCTAACACAGTGATGCTACAGTTACCCCCCTGGCTCCTGCTCTGTGCCGAGCGGAGAGACTGAGCTGGGAGAGGGAAGGCTGTGCTGAACTGCCAGTTCTGGAGCTGTTCTGTGGCTAAAGAGAGAATTTCATTTTGGGTGCTGTCAGTCTCCTAAGGTACATAAGCTCTGAGCTCCCTCAGAGAGAAGAGGGGGGGAGAAAAAGTAACAACTCAACCTGGCATCACATGCAGCAAGAGAAGTTCAGTTCCCTCCTCAGGCTGGGGAGCGTGTAATTAAGATGAACCTTTCACAGCAAAGTATGTTATGGCAATTTGACTCAAATTGCAGCTACTAAGAACCACGTGGGCTGTAATTAATCAAAGCAACATCAAAGCAAAGGGATGACTTCAGACTCCTTGCAGAGGTACTGTAAACAATTTGTTAGGGAAGAAAGTGCCCAATTAGAAATGCATTCTCATTTAAGAGAAATTAATTTTGTTGTCAGGAGAGACAATTAATGGTGGCTGTTGGGCTTCATAGCAAGTGCAGATAATCTCTCATGCCATGTCTGAACAGGGCTCAATATTTGAAATAACTCACATCATAAGAAATTATCTTTATCTTCCTATGACATAGATAAATGCTGATATTTTTTCTATGGCAAGCTGGACTGATATTCATCACCAGAGCCTCTTCATTTCTTTATACTTCATTGCTACATTCCTGACAGCACTTCAGATAAATGCAGTCAACTGATTTTGTTGGTGGTGGTGGTGTTCAAATAATCGTGATGCTCAGTAATGCGATTGGTAAGATATTCTTGCTATTTTTACATTCCTATTAATTTCTTTCAGGTTTTCAGTCTTCAGTTAGCCACAGAGTTTACTACACCGTGCATTATTGAAACAGAGGAGCAGCTGGGGGTTTATCGACTCATGTTTGAGGCTTCTGCCAAGAGAAGGGAATTCTTCCTGCCTCCTTTTAGAGAAGGTTGGAATGGCAAGACATTTTCTGATGTGGGGGAGACTTGCTCTTCAGTGCTGTTTCTTTCCTATTGTTCCCTGAATGAGAATCCCCCACTATATCCAACAATAGTGAGCAAAAACCTTATCTGAACACTCCTGCCAGAAGAACCAGTGAAATAATGAACTGAGCTGACAATGATGTAGTTATCATCAGATTTCCTGGGAGATGAATAGACTCAGCTTCCTATTGTTTCATGCTCTCAGGCGACCAGGCTCACATTCGAAAAGGATCTTCCCCCACATCGTGGTGCACGGAAAACAGACCTGGAGGCCTCCCAGTCCCCTTAGGGGATCTCTGTAACTGTAGGAACTGCAATTTTCAGGCAGCTCTTCAGTAATCCAGAGTGTTCTCTTTCGGTTTATGGTTATAAAGTGTCCCCATCACACAGAGAAAATCCAGCACGTAACAGATTTGTCTGCAGAACCACCGCGGACTGGATGGATTATGACTCTTCGATTCCCTCTTGCCTGATGAAACTGGCACTCTTGATATGAGTTTCAAGATAATTCAAAGAGATCTGCTGTTGGGTTGTGATGCTTCTGGAACTTCAGTCCCTGGAGATGTCAACTTAACACCTTATCCCAGCACTGAATTTACATGAGGAGTGTAAAGCAAAATACAAAAAGTAAACCGTACCCAGCAAAACTCATGGTGTTATTTTATGCATGCAGACTTCTGTCCCAAAATATGTCAAATTTTACTTGCAAAAATAAAAGGCTGCTGTTTTATTCTCTGTGTGTGCAATCTGCAGAGAACCCGGCCACTTCTTTTCTTTAAACATTCAGCGATCAAGTGGGGAATCTGATGTAAAACCGAATGGGAAGAA